GCAAGGGAGGCCCTCTATATATTTTTTAAAGAAACTTCTATGTGTTCTTATGTCCATTTTCTTTCTGTGCATCTGTCTCCCGTGCAGAATTCAAACTACAGTTTGATCATTTCCTTCCTTTAGGGCAAGGGGTCTGTGTGTGTGTATCAGTCAGATTTTGAGCAAATAGTTGACTTATTCATCCTTTTTGAAAAACAGTATTAGGCACTTGGGTAAGCAAAGAATAAGATCAGTCCTGGGAGTAACTGAAGGAATCCTCCTCCTCCCTCTCCCAACCAAGTGAGTTGACATCTGAGTCCTTTGAAAAATAAGTAAGCGTTGAGTCAGGTGAAGGGAAAACATATCCCCCCGGCAGCGTGAATAAGTGCGTACAAAGCCTTAGAAGTGAGGGAGAACTAGGCCTGGTCAGCACTGAAATGGCTGATTCCAGGCCAGGAAGGAACATTCAGAGAAACCTTTGCAGCAAGAGGGCGACGTTCAGTACCGAATTGTGTTTATTTTGAAGTTACCCTGGCTGCAGGGTGGTGACCCACAGGACTGGTAGAAGTCCTTTTCAGAAATCCATTGGTGGTAAAAATGAGAATGGATGGTGGTAGATTGAACGTGAGCAAGAGTGGCGTGATCTGTTCTCTGACTTGGGCAGCTAAATGTCATCTACTAAAATTTTGAACCATGGAGGACAGGCCACCAGAGGGGGTGTGTTTCAGGCACATTAAATATGTGATGATTGCCGTGAAATATTTTCAAATAGGAATATCTAAGTGGCCAAATACATACTAACGTAAAGTTCTCAGACTGTCTGTTTTCCACAACATTTATGTCTATGGCCACCTTTAAGTCCATTTTGGATTCTCCGTGTTCCTTGCTTCTAGGAGTCCTCATCTCTCTCTAACTAGATGTTCCCCTTTCTGCAGCTTTGTTTCCTCCTCTGAAATGAAAAAGTGACTAGATGATCTTCATGGGCTCTTAGGCTTAAACCTTCCACAGGGACTCTGTGATTCCTTGTTTTCAAAGGGATTGAAGAGTGGAGTTGGGAAGTTTCTAGTCCCATAATCCTCAGAATCTAATTTGTACTACTGTGGTTGCTGCTGCTTAAGCTAAGAAAAAGCTTGTCTACTAAATGTATATTATGCACCTATGCGCCCTCAACAATTGACCCAAGCTCCTCAGGAGGAGTCAGATTAGGCCCTGCAAAAAGCCCTGGCTGCCTGTGCTCTCTACTCACTGGGGCCTGGCTCACTCTGGGTGGACAAGAGCCTCTCTTGTCTGGAGGAATCTCACCCCCTCCCAGAAATCCAGTTCACCTCAGTGGGCCAAGGGGCAGTGAACTTGCCCTTCCCTGTTCAGTCTCTGGCTCCTCGTGCCCTGGAGCAGAATGGGCAGCTACTCGGCAAGGGGAGACCCAGGGGAGATGTGCTGCTCCCTTGCTGCTCCTGCTCCTTCAGTGCTAAGGGCCTGTCTCTCTCACTGTGTTTTTTCTCAAGACCACATGACAGTCAAAAACAATGTACAACTGTGAAAAGCTCAGTGTGCTTTTATCGAGTGTGGGTTTTCCAGCGTCCTCGGCCACTTAGTGAAATGTAGGTGTTGGGGAGGGCTGCTTCATTGTTAGTGTGATCCTGACCTGGTCAGGTCGTCCCTGTTGCGTATATTGTCTCTAGACAGGCAAGTAAACATGACAAGCCAGGCAGGGGTTGTGAGGCCTGGTTCCTTTGACTCTAGTGTCTGTTACAAAACAAATCCCCATTGTTGTTTTCATTTGTATTTCCTCACCTGGAGTGTTTCCGTTCATTACACACCACTGTGTAACAGGCACTGTCACGTGTGTCGAAGGTAATTTAGAAGATCTAATTGACTTATCTAAGACCCATGAGTCAAGCAGCTTGCCTTCCAGCGAGTAGAAAGGCTCTGTAAGAAGTCATTCAAAAAATGGAAGATTTCTGTGTTGGAAAGAGGACTGGCAAGGTCATTAGCAAAAGAAAAGATTATTTGGGGCTACACCAGAGAAGGCAGGGGCTCCCATGCAGATGGCTCCACCACCTCAATGAGGAAACTCCAGCTTGGCTTGTTTAAATGCCCACTTTGGGGGAGAAGCAGAAACTGCACGTACGTTAGGTATTGTGTCTCTGTGGGGCATGAGCAGCTCCCTTTTGGGACTGTTCTTTTTCCTTTTTTAATATAAAGGGAAGTAAATTGGTGTATCTTTAAACAACTGTAGGGTTTTCCATTAGGTCCTGTGGGAGACACTGAGCATTTTTGTGCACCAGGCACTGGTCTCAGCAGATGCAGGGGTGCAACGTAAGGTTGATCCTGCTTTCCCGGGCGCGCTCACTAGCCAACCCTTAAAAATCCTTTGTCAGAAATCGCCCTCGCTCCCTCCTCTCCCAGCACTGACTGGCACAAACATCCCTATTGGGGACCCCACACTCTGAGCTCCCCTCTTCCTCACCACCCACTGTGCACAGTTTTTCTTGTCATTAAGGTGACTCCAGCCTCCTTCCCCCGGGGAAATGGGGGGGGACCGGGGGAAATGGAGGGGGGACCGTGCCAGTGTCAGTCCATCCTAATCTCTCTTAGGCTCCTCTTCGCTGCCTGACTACTGTCACTCAGCAGCCTTAGGTTTAGGGAACTTGGAAACCAGCTTCCCCCATTCTGCTGAGGCAGGTCTTGTACAGATGTCAATCAGTGAATCGTCTCTGTGTATCTGTGCAGACCCTGTAATGCTTTAGAATAACAATGTAGAAATGTCTGGAAATCGTAAATTCCATCTCAGACTGATACTGAAACTTGACTCCATCTGATCTCCAGTCTCTCTCTCTCTAGGATTATAGAGCCTCAAGGACATGCTCATTTTTAAAATGAAATCTTTCTGAAGAACCTATTGATCAGGTTTTTAAAAAGCAAAACTGAAAGCCCCACCTAGCCGGTTCGTGTTAGGCAGCAGGACGAGAAAGTTCCTCTGTCTCTCCCGGTGGCACCGCTAGCCTCTGCCATCACCAGGGGCTGGGCAGGCACGGGTTGGAGGTGAGGGTGCTGGATGTTGAGATTCTCTTGACTTTTTCTTTTTGAAGTAACATTGCATTATAACCTCTACTTAAAAAAGAGTCAGTGTCCTAAAATAGCATGGTAGCTAAAATAACAGTAACAACAACAGCACTCCTTTGCCATTCCTGAGAATGGTTGTTTGTTTAAAACCCAGGGCCTTGGTTCTGGCAACAGTTAGTTTCCACTAGCTGGGCTCCCACAAGAGTTGCTCTAATGGAAATCAGATGGTCTCCTGACAGGAAACATGGGGTCTGTTAAGCATTCCCTCAAGCCCTCTGTCAGGGGTTTCCTTACGGAAACTACAGACACTAACACACCCTGGAACTGGAGGAAGATGGTGTAGACCTGATCATTTCAGAGGCTTATGGTGCTATTATTTCCCCCTCTGAATAATAATTAACAGGCCAGTCTGAATGCCAGGCTGTCGGCATTCCCACCCCAGATCCTGAGGCGGTCACTTGAATGGCTTTGTTGAAAGAGGGAGTCAGGGAGGCCAGCCAGCCTTATTATCACCCCACATTGTTGGGATCCCCGAGCTGCCTGCTGAGTGATAGTCATCAGTGGGCTCTTGACTGCCCCCTATCCTATCAAATGCTCGCTGGAAGGCCTAACCCATCCCCAGCTCCTAGGTCCACACTCCACAGGCCCAGTTGCCTCTGACTGTTCATGGATCACTACCATGTCACACTCAGCAAGACCATTTCTAGCTCCCTTCCCGCACTGAGAACCCTGCTCAGAGCTGCAGTTTGGGGGTACAGGGAGGAGAGAGACCTGGAATGTGTTGGTCTGGGGTGCCATCTTTAGATGGCCGTGGGGGGAGTGGAGTAACTATGGACTGGACCTGAGTCCACACGGACTAGAGACTTCCAAAATTCCTAAATGGCGGTCACTAATGGCTTTATCACGTCACCTTTTCCCACTTCCCTCGGCCGTTCTGGGCAGCATCCTCGGCTACTTGATGGCAAATTTTGACAGGTGATAAAAGCAACTATTGAGATTGCTGCTTCACAGAGTCCAGATACATGACCATTGACTGATGTTATTTTTGCCTTTGCTGGGACACTCCCTCATGTCTGCTGTCACTTTTTAATGGATTGCCTTCTGAGATGTACATTCTGAGGTCCCTGCACTTGCCCCCCAGTCTGGCAAATGGCAGCTTGACCTGGATGGAATCTAAAATAAATGGATCAGGGCTGCAGAGGAACATTGAGAGCAGGTGGTTGGCAGCACGACTCCCCACCCCCCCCCCACCACCACCACACACACACACACACCCTTCCCCCCCCCCCCACCCCCCCGCGCCAGAAAATTGAGTCAATATAAACACAATGTTTACATCTTTGTGGAGTTTAATTTTAATCAAGATTTATTCATTTCACTCGTCTTCTCTGTATTTGTAACACGGCAGATTCTTTGTAGGCCCCATGTCTGACCATGTGCTGCCGGGGGCTGCGTGGCACTTGTTTGGTGATGGGGGCTTACTTGTCACTAGTAATTACAGATAAACAGAAAAACCCTGTCGTGTGGGAGTGTCGGAGCTTTGCCAGGCAGCTGCTGTTCTTCCAGAGGCTCCGCAGCAGGTTCTCGTGGAGGATCTCCCACCACTTCTTTCTCCTTCTCTTTTGCTCAGAAGGCCACGTTCGCTGTTCAGCGCAGGAACTCCCCACTGTCCTTGGGGTCCCCCAGCTTCAGTTGGAGAGACTTCAGAGCGGTCACCGTAGAGCGTGGGCCTGAGATCTCAGCAGGCCAGCAGCAGCACACGCGCGTTGCTTTTGTTCATTTTGTATTTCCCCTTCCCTTACTTCGAGCTTGGGGAGCAGTGCCAGCAGGTTATGAAAAGAATGAGAATAATTTGACTTCTGACATTGGGGCTTGGGGTTATTGGGTGTTTTGTTTTCTGATGTGAAACCAGCTATTTGTTAACCACTAACTCTTCCCTTATTCTTTTCTTGCAGATGAGCTCACAGTGCCTGCACTTTACCCCAGTAGCCCTGAAGTGTGGGCCCCGTACCCTCTGTACCCAGCGGAGTTAGCGCCTGCTCTACCTCCTCCTGCTTTCACCTATCCCGCTTCACTGCATGCCCAGGTAATTTATACCCATCGGCCACGACTTCACTCACTCCACCACCAGTCCTTTCAGATCTGGTCCCCCAGAGCACATCATACAACTAACACCTATCCAGCTAACAGATCCACCTTCAAGAGATTAATGATCCCTTCTAAATCGAGCTGACACTCCTCCAGAACTGATGAGGACCATCTGACAGCCATGACATCACCCACTGCCTGATGTTTGCCCCAAATGACACCTCTCTCTTCCTTAATGATCTCACCCTCATACCACACACGAGAGTCGGGGCCCAGGTTACCCCCGGCCAGCTAGAGGGCGTCCCTAGAGCCTCACCGTGTGCCTTGTCTGCAGAAGGGCTGCAGAAGGAGCGTGCACTTGTGGAGGTGCTGTGGCTGTGTTTCTGCGTAGCGAGATGTCTGCTGTCTTCTAGGTCTAGTGGCCACAGGGGAACGTTGGGAGCTTTCAGGAGGAAGACTGTGCTGCTCACATGTGTGACAGAAAAGATTAAGGGCTCCTGTTTGCCTTTTTTTAGGAAATCCTGTGTGTAGAAAGAAGGTCCGATCTAGTGTTTAGGATGTAATTACAGGTCAAGGTAGAGGTCTCAGTTCTGAGCGCTTTCTTTCTCGGTTAAGAATAGCCTGAGTTTTATAAACAAACTCCCTTGTTTCTCTACAAAGATCACTGTCTATATACGCCAGGTCTTCCTCTCCCCTTGGTGAAAGTTTCTCTTAGCTTTGCTTTTAGCCTAAGTAGTAGTAAACAATGTCAGGGCTCAGAATGATGATCGATAGTAAATAAAACAGAAAGAATATAGATTTTATTTGTCTTACTGCTTTCTTAACTCCTCTAAATAGGAAAGCCTGGTTTAAAAAAAAAATTGTGAACCTAACATTTGGGGGGTTTGTTTGTTTTGCATAGTGCTTATTGGCAAGGCGCTGGATGAAATGAGTAGCTTCCAAAAACTTCTTCTTTCTCACATAAAACCTCATTCATGTTGCACAGAACTCTGTTGCTGTGTGAGGCGACTGAGGCAGCCCAGTGAGCCCAGTGTCCAGGGGTGCTGGGCCTAAACTTCCCGCCTTCTCTGTCCGAGTCACCAGCGCCTCATGCATCCTTTCAACTCCTGGCTACCCATGCACCATGCGGGCGAACCACAAAGAGAAGGCCTTGATGCCTGGGCCCCAGAAATGTTTACCCTCTGTGTTCAGAGAACGGGATATAGAAAGTATATACAAATAGTGAAGAAAAATGTAAGCCATGGCAGTTAGAGTAAGTACTTGGCATAGAAAATTAAGTAGCAGGAGTATTCTGAGGCTGATTACTCAATTTCTAAATCATGTTTTTTTGCTTTTCCTTCCTCTGCTGCTTGTCCAAAACTTTTGTCTATGTCAGTGCTCGGTCACCCTTGCAGGGGAGGGGAAGAGATAAAATGCAAACCTTGGGATATCTTCTGAGCCATCAGTGTATTTGTCGTGGGCCTGGGGATAACTTTGTAGATGACATGGAACAAATAAAAGACCTCCTGCTTGTGGATGTGTCTCCTGTTTCCCCTGGCTAGACTGCCTAGATCCAGACCAGTGGACAGTTATAGCCAGTTAATAATACCACGAAACGCTGCCAGGTTCATCCAGTCATTTGGACATCCTATCCTGGCTTTGGTTATTCTGGCCCAAAGGCTTTCACCCTTACCCTGGCCAGAAAGGACTGGAAATGGTGGCTTTGGCATCTGGTCACTTGCTTTTGCTTGGTTCACACAATGGATGAAATTGAAAGTAACTCAAGGAATATGGTGGTTGCTAAAGAGTCGTAAGAAATAAGCCATGCCATTGTGAGAAAGGGTGGGGAGCGGCAGAGCCAGGATCAGATGGACTCAGCCATTTGATGAAGGGCATCTGCTGCCCAGGGGGCATCCCCCTCGGGAGTTCTTCCTTGATCTTGAGCCTTTCCCAGCCTGGAATCCACTTGGCTCCATCACATCGTTCCCAGAGTTGGTTAACTCTCATCTAGTATCAGTGGCATTCAACCCCACTTCTTGTTTGGAGGCAGTCCCAGTGCAAGCATGGGTTCCGTATCCTGAGGACTCATGCACAAGTAGTGTTACTTACATTTTTTGGTCCAAGATGAGAAGCATAGAATGAACTGGTAGAGACTTGGCAAATCAGCTGGTTTAACCCGCTTTACGTGTGAGGAGAAGATGGAGGAACTGAAAGTCCACCCTTGGCCGTGACCACACCAGGTCACCCAGGCTTTGTTCTTCCCACACCTCCGTGCTGGCTCACCAAAGACTCGTTCTTTGATGGAATTTTGGCAAGGCCTCACTCCAGTCACTCCTTGGATCTTTAAGTAGATGGGAAGGCCGTAAGAAGAGATTGGGAAGCAAAGACGAGGGAAATGAGCACTTCACCTTCCCCCTAAGGGCCTCAGGATTTTTAACTTGTGGTAGAGCAGTTGGGAAGACCAAAACAGAGCATCCCCATAGAGGGTCATTTCGTTTTTACCTTGGAAATCTTATATATCTATGGAGACGCTTTTGAATAATTTTGCTTTTCTTAGCAATGTTGTGCTCTGTTTTGAGACATGGATTTTTTTTTTCTTCTAGTGTTTCTCTCCTGAGGCAAAGCCCAACACACCTGTCTTTTGTCCACTTCTCCAGCAAATTAGATTTGTATCTGGGAATGTGTTTGTAACATATCAGCCTACTGTAGACCAGCAGAGGGAGCTCCCATGTTGAATTTGCTTGTTAGCTCCTTTCTCACCCCACCCCCTTTGCAAAAGCTATTTCTTGGCAACATTTGAGAGATTTCAATAAAAATTTTAATCAGAGCAAAAATGATCTCAAGTAGACTGCAGCGTTTTGTTTTCATGGTGATGCAATTTGAAGCTAAGATGTTACCCCTGAGATTCTGGGAGAGTTGGGCCCATGACACTGTATGTGCAGTAGATGGGAGAACCACGCGGAGCGCAGGTCCCACTGCTGCTGCTTGAATCTTCCTGGACCCATGAAACCACCAAGAGGTGCACGTCAGAAGATTCTCACCTTGGCATCCGAGGGTCACCTCTGCCCAGAAATCTTGTTTCAGCAGAGATGATCTTGTGACAAATGGAGGCATCTTCCAGTCTGGCCGCCATAATCCAGAGAAAGGGGAGGACCCAGGAAACACACTTGCTGAGAAGGCGCTGAATCACTGCCCTGCCTTCAGCCTGTGGTCTGGTGCTTCCCTCTTGAAATTGAAGATACCTATTTCACATTAAATCCTATTTTTAAAGAATTGGATAAGAAAATAGAACCAGAACCCTCAGAACATGTTAATTTTACAGATAAAGAGCTACTTGGTGCAGCCAACATCTGATTTTTGAGATTCACATTTTTAGAGGTGATCCTTCTGTTTATTCCCAAGGTCATTGGTATTTAAAATTTATTACATGTATTATATAAGCTGCTGTGAACAGCAGAGGAAGGTTTCCTTCTGAGTGTTAGGAGAGGGCTATTCAGAAGAGAACAGACAGCTGCTCCTGACACCTCGTATCCACATATCTCAGCTGTTCAGGTTTGGGGTCAGCGGACGGGACAGAGAGCAACCCAGTCTAGTGCACTGCCTTTCCTGCGCACTAGAAACAGAAAACTGTCTGCCCTTGCCCCGAATCATGTTGTTGGGCTAGAAACTTTTGCAGGTAAGTGGGACTGAGGGAGCAGGTTTCTTGCTCCGGGGCTTACTTGCCCTGAGTAACAGTTGACCTTCTGGAAGGAGTGCATCACCTGCACCTAAACAGAAGGCCCTGAAACCATAACACAGCCTTCCTGCGGGCAAGATAGGCCTTGAGGAGGTCCCTTGTGGCATTCTGGAAAAATTTTAAAGGTTAAACCCAAAATAAACACAGAAATGGACCATGGGAAAATAGAGGCAAACTGGGAAGGCAGATCATGGAGGGATAGAAGGCCACAGAATGGCGTGTGGGTACAGAGCTCACCCCCATCACCAGATCCAGGCATCTGCTCAACAGCTTGTAACTTACGGAAACTGCATTTTCAGACTTCTTTAAAAAGATTAATTGATTCAGCATCTCCTCTGTCACTGTGCCCTGTACAGACTACAGAAGTAAAGAAGGCAAAGTGTGGTTTGTTGTTGGGATTTAACTGGGGGGTGGGGGGACACCCCAGGGGAACAGCAGCCAAGGCACGTGCTGTTTGCACCCAGCAGGGACTCTTCGTTTGTGGCTTCTACTTCCTGTTCTGAAGGCAGTAGCTAAAGAGAACGGGGGTTGGTCCAGAGAGACACCCCTGAGAAGTAACTCCAGTGCCTCAGAGCCGCTGGGCGGCCCCCCAAAGTAAGGGAGGAAGTTCTGAGCACTGAGCTTTGCCTCTGGACGCCCTCCATGCCATGGCTCTCGGCCCCTGGAGTCCTTGCCCGTCAGCCGTGATGTGACCGACGGGAGACCGTGGCTGTGCGGGCCTGCAGAGGTCGCCTTCAGACTGTTCGGTCCAAATGGTCCATCCAGATTTTCCATTGTTTTCAAACAAATGAAACTCCTAATTCTCTGACTTTCCCTCTAAACCTGCAGCTCCGTGAAGACTGTGAGAAACAAACCCCCAGGAGCCCATCTCCTGACTGTGCCCCTTGTCTGGTTCTCTGTTTCGCTCGCTTCCTAGTCACCTGAGAGCATCTGACTTAACTCAGGAGAAGGGGGGGCGGGGGGTGCAGATGGGCCAGGCACAGCCTCCTGAGCACCAGTGGGGGGATGGGGGTGTTGCGTCTCCCAGTTACTGGGAGTCAGACACCCCTTTGCTTTCCCCGGCCCTCCCTGTGGGCTCTTCCCCTGCCTGCCCCACAAGACCTGACCTTTGCTGTGACTTGTGCCCTCGGGAGGGTCTGCGTGTGAGTGGGTAACAGAAGGGGTGTGTACACTGCGGGGCTGCCCGATCACACACCGCCACGGACGAGCTGTTTGACTATGAACGAGTTCCTTAACCTCTCTGGACGTCACTAAAGTGGGCTAATAACCGTTCATGTAAACACGAGAGTGCCTGGCACACAAGGGCGTCATGACGGTTAGCCTTTTAAGGAGAATCTGAGTGTTCACCAAGGAGGAGGCAGCGTAGGACTCGCTCTGCACGAGGCTGTAATTGTTCCGACACTGGGAGTGTCCAGCGTGTCCCGAGGCACCAGTGGAACTGCAGAGTCCTCGTGTGCAGCCAGATGGAAGGAAGGCCTGCAGCTGGGGAGAGAGACAGACAGGTGAGCAAGGTGAGGCCTCAAGTGACACAAGCTGCCAGCGTCACCAAGTGACAGCACCTGCTCAGTTGCCAGCTCTGGGAGAACTTGTGCCCAGAGGAAGTCTCCCCCACAGCCCGAACACGCCTGCCAGAAGAAAACCTCGCCCTGACGGGAAATGGACCCAGAGTGGGAAACAGCTGAATTCCCAGCGAGACCAAAAGGTTCCCGAGTGTTGCTTCACTCAGACCCGTTGTCCCTGAACTTTCCAGCTGTTGCCCTATCTTGCTTTCCTATCAGAGACACTGGAGAAGAGAATGACCCATGGGTCACGTGGCCCATTCCTCCCTGGGCTTTCTGGATTGTTCTTCACAGTCCTTCCACTGGGATTCTGTCCAGTCTCATTTCCAGGTGGTGGAGTTACATCTTGCGCCTTGGGAGGTAATTCCTGTAGTTGAATTGCAGGGGACTGCACTTCTGTATCCTCCCTGTCCTGTCCCATCCCTTACCCGCTTCTGCTCTTTGATATTTGGAAAACTAAAGCCCGCCACTGAGGCAGTGAGAGACGTATGCGTGCTTCTCACTGGCCTCAGAAGCAGTCCAAAATTAGTCATCCAGAGTTGCTGGAAATAGTTTTTCCTTTGGCCAAAGGTCTGCTACTGAGGCCCAAAGGTCCCTAGCTTGCTGGGCAGCTAGCAGGACCAGAGCTGTTCAGAAACCGGAGCCAGTTCCCAGTGCTATTGCCATGGTCATGGTTGCTGGTCCCAAGGACACTTCCCTGAACTCAATCACCATTGCCTGATTGCAACAGCTCACACAGGCCTCTTCTGACTGAGGGCAGCAAGATGACCTTAATTCAGTGCACTGTGCTCTGCAGGTTTCTTAAGCATGTTCCATTTCATCCTTTGTCACCCCTGTCAGTGCTGTTTGCAGGCCTGCCTCTTTCTTGGATTGTGAACAAATGTGGGTCTGACCGTCACCCTAGGAGGGTGCAGAGGGCTTGGCTTGGCACATAATCGGGACTTGATGTTTTAAGATCAAACAGGCTGGATTTTAATGCTACATTCTACCCACTCTACTACCCAGGGGATTTTAGGTAAGTTTATCTCAAACTCTCTGAGCCTCATTTTCCTTATCTATAAATCAGATTGAACACCTACTTCATGGGGTTATTTTGAGGGAAAGAGTAAAATGCTTGCAGAGTAATCATTAAAATAGTTCCTCCGTGTCCTCTGTCAGAACTTGGTCTGGCGTGGCCCACGGGCTCCGGAGGCCTCTCTTTGTAGCTTCAGTAGCACTTAGGATGCAGGGATGCGGGAGCGGTGACAGGCCAGGAGAAACCCGGCTTCCAGGCTTTATTCTTTGGTAAGGAAAAGCTGCCGGAGCCAAGGCAAGGTGGTAGCCCGTGCCTGCGCTGTGTGCCGGGTCAGCCTGCTGTCCAGGCACACACCATCCAGCACTTAGTGCATGCTAGCTGCTTTGGAAGCAAAACCCAGGCTACAAAGAAACTTCAGAATTGTAAAATGTAGCCTTCATAAAAAAGAAAGTGAATGTTCCTTTGAAGAAAACCCATTGTGACAGGGGTAAAAAGGAAAATCAACTCCAAATGGGATCATGTTTTATTCAGACTTTGTGCTGTTGGTGGGGAAGGTCAAAACCCGGTGACAGCATGGGAAAGTGGGACACCCCAACTTCAAGCCTCACCTGCTCTGCCACAAAGTACTCGCTTCAGTGAGCTCGGCTCCTGGGACCTTTAATAGCCCTTGATAGCAAACATAGTTAAAAATTAACAGACTGACAAAATTAAATATGGATGACCAGCAACCACTGTGGACTTAATCTGACACAGGGTGTTACATGCTTGGGTGCCTTCAACCCTAGAGGCATCTTGAGTGAACTTTGGGGATGTCTAAGTATATTTCACATGCCTGCTTAGAAGCAAGAGCAGGGCTAATGCTTCGGTCAGACAGGGAGAAAACTAAAAGCCCAGGAGAGAGAATGATCATGGAAGGCTTATGTGGAATTCAGCCAGGCGGGTTGGTGCGAGCAGGTGCTGTGTACAGGCAGGATCCGACTGTCGGAGCCTAGACTGCCCTGCCTGGGCACAGACACCAGCAGTGTCCCGCCTTCCAGACTACGAGACCTGCGGGAGCCCAGGCCTAAGCTGGCGCATGGCTTTCTCCAGTGGGACTGACACGTTCCCCTTCCCACCTGGTGGGGAGGGTCAGATGGCAGATCGGACTAACCTTCACATCAATTCATCTAAATCTTGACGTTTTACCTAGATGGTGGCAACTTGTTTCATTTCTGTTGCATTTCGTCCCTTCCATGTCTGCTAGGAAAGGAGTGGGGGCTGGCAGTTTTGGGGTGATCCTCAGGAAGCTTCATTTCATGAAGGAGAGATACTATGGGAAATGTTTCAGTTCTGGTAATTGCTCCTTCAAGAGTTTCTATGATTAATTTTTCCCATAAAGAGGATCAAATTTTTTGGTATTGTGAAGCATCACCCCAGCCTATTTGGTCAGTTTGGAGTTGCTTGGACAGGGGGGCGCTTTTGGCCTGGCTACAGTTAAAGGAGGGGCGTGGCACCTACCGGGGGCTCACCGTTGGCAAGGGGCCG